CTCACAGGCGCCTGCCACCGGCTCAGCCTCCCGCCACCCAGGGAGGGCTGACAATGGCCCCTGCCAGGGTGGGGTGGGGGGAAGCCACACTTCCCCGGCTTGCTCCAAGAGCTGAGACGCATTTACTCAGGTAATTTAGGTCCAGCCATTTCCTACGGACAATAAAATCAAACAAAGGACCTAAAGAATGTCAAAATAGGCGTTTAAACAGCTAGAACGTACTGTGTAACAATACACCGCTGCAGGATGGCAGCGTAGGAGACGCTGAAATCCAAACAGGCAGAATTATATGCTTATTAGTTTTAAAACCAACCATACCAGGCTAAGATTTCATATTTCTACAGGAAAATCTCTAGTTTACAGTCTGCCCTTGAAATCTTTACTGCTGCAGTCAGTTATTCAGCCAGGCAGCCCAAGAGTTGTCTAGTTCACAACAAGTCTAACCAGTATTTGGACAAGGATTTGCTAGAGAGACCAAAAAAGCCATGAAGTTAGTTCAAAGGGCCCCATGGTTTCTCAATGCTAGCAGAAGGACAGGCTGAAGTAAGGTCACGGATGGGGGCAGTGTCAGGATGGAATCAAGTTCCATCTCTGGAAGGGTGCGGGACCCACGGAGCACTCCCAGCCTGCAGGCACTGCCCTCTCCCTCAGCCCCCGCCCTTTTCTTTTATGGCATAGCCTCAGGGTACAGGGCTGCATCACCTAGATATGCAGTGCACAACACAGAAATGCCTTTTGGTTATTTGCATTGTGATACACAGCAGACTATACTCAAAATCCAGAGCTATGATGGAAGGTAGAGAAGAACTGAATATATTAACGAGGAACTTCTTCATCTTCCATTGGCATAAAGAGATTAAAAAAATTAATTAATGACTTAATACTTAGTATTACCATGCTGTTGCTTTTTATGCATCAAATCATGCTCATTAGCATTGCAGGCATGAAAGCTACCTCTTAAGTTTTAATATACACAGATGAACAGTAAGAATAAAAACTCATTCCAACAAGGAAGCCTTGGCTTACTAGTTCATTTTGTGTACATCATAGACACCAAATTATGAAACTAGGAAAAGGGGGCTATAATGTACATAAGGGCTAAGAGCAAGCTTAGCTCTCTCCTCCTCAAGCCCCACAATAAGCACCTTTGACCTCTCTGCATTAGTCATGATGTGTCCTGCACACACACTATATGATTTAGGAATGCAATGTAATTAGAGTTACTTTTTCAGAAGGCTGTGGTGCCATTACAGCTAACAAGAACTGAAGTAAACATGATAATTTCCTTCACATGAGTCCCATTGTAGTCAAGGAGCTGCTGTGATTTGAGCCTAGGTGAAGAGAAGAGATACACACCACTACTTTTCATTTCTTTGACCAGTTGTTTGTAGAACAGCCTGTAACATAAAACCTTTTTTGAGCAGTTATACTGCAAGTTATCAGTTATAATGAAACATTTTACTGCTTAGGTTTATATTGAGGGATGACATTTTTTTATTACACCTTCTGCCTCATCAGCACAAAAAACAAGGTTAGGACGGAGTTTTCTGCAAGACTAAGCAATTCCTAGCTTTAACACTTTATCAACTCTTGTTTTCTGTATTTAAGACAAAGACAGATGCAAGAAGAATAAATTCATGTTCTTAACATATGCATCCAAATATGCCCCATCAAGAAAGGAGGCTTCACTGCCTCCCAGCCTTCTTTGATCCATCTCAGTATTTACTTGGCTTATGCTCCATTCACATCAGACATCCAGGGTCTTTACCATGACCAAGGAGAGCAGTTTAGAGCCTTTAGATTGAGGTACAAAGATCTTCCTAGTGGAGCTAGGATCTGTCTTTCACTCCTTTTCCTCAAGGAAGGACCCAGCTAAGTCTGCTCACTCAAGACAAGCAAAAAAGCCAAACTCAGGTCCTGCAGTTGTTTCTCATGCAATCTGGATCACAAGGAACAGACTCAGAAACTCAGCCCCTGTGCAAGACAGGACATAGCAAATGATTAGAAGTCACAGCTGGAGACCCAAAGGAAGAAGATCCGGGATGAGGGAAGTACCAGTCTGTGATACTCAGGTTGCTACATGTAGCAAAAAACTTGAAGCAGCATGGGCAACTTTTGAGGTCAAAAGCACTTTTTCCTCAATGCAACGAGTAGACCTTTGTTTGCTTTTAAGTTTAGAAACAATACCAGATACAGGAAAGTGCTCTTAATAACAGGGCAAAACTGCTTCAGAGATAATTAGCTGTCCCGGCCACCTCCACAGGAACAGCAGTTCCCAAAATCTAGCCCATGAAAGTATCCCTCCGAACTCGTATCAATTCGGTTAAGGAGTTCTGGACAGCTCAGACAAAGCCAGCTCTCTCTGCTCACACACACACCCCGCAGCACCCAAGACTCATTCTTTACAGCAGAGCCAGTATCTCAAGGCAACGACCCAAGTTGGCAGGACTCTGCCGTTCTTTGCTGCTCCTACTCTCGGCGTACAATGGGCTATTTACAGCGGGCAGCAGCCTGCCTATTGTCTATCCATAGCCAGACATCGTTCGAGTGCAATGGAAGAGAACACGAGAGCAGCCGTCAGCTTCTGTATTGCAAAGAAAACAACCCCAAATAGCAATGGCCTCTCTTCCTCTCTATCCTCATATTTAGATAATGGCACACTAGCACTGCAGTGGCCTGCCTTAAAGGCAGGTCCACCACATTGTGTAAAAGAAGTAGCTGTGTTATTTCTACAGACCCTTGCAGGCAGGAGAAAGCTACAAGACAAGTTGCCTATCTCTTATGAGCAATATGACACTAAGATGTTTTCACTATGATACGCTGGAACAGGGGATCAGCCACCCATATACCTTTGAGTTATCCTGATAGCTACTTGCCATTGCAGTTTGTGGTTTTCTTACTATTACAGGTTAAACTGCACAGCTCCCACGAATCTCTTGTTTTAGTTAAGCCTTTCTCCACTCATCCTTTGAAAGAGCAAGTGCAGAATCATGTTATAGTTCCTTTATTGAGTATAAAAGAGGGTGCAACAAATAGCTTTGGCTATTAACAAGAGAAATCCTTTTGTCCGAATAAAATACATAATCCTAATCTCAGAGTGCATTTACAATCAGCTTAAATTGAGTCAGTCCAACCTGTCCCAGATACATGCTCCCACAACCCTCTCTGTGCTGGCCAGGCACTCATTTGTTGCGCAGTCACAATAGGGAGGTGAGCTGGCAAACACCATTTTCCTGGGTTAGTTCTGATGCTAGTTCTCAGCTAGATCAACTCTTGTCTGGATGAACAGATTGGCTCCCAGAAGGAAACAAGACAGCACAGCTGGGGAAAGGGATGGACTGTTGTAATACTACACCTTAAGCATGCATCTCCAAACACTGCATGCAACTCATCCCAGGATTTCCTCCCCCTGCCCTGCAGTCACAGCAGTAACTGGACAGAGGTCTTGCAACCACCTGTGACAGAGCCAAACTGTAACCAGGAAGGAAACCACAACCACCCTCAAGATACAGCACAGGAGCATAGGTAATTGAGACCTGAAGGAGAATCCTCAGTTTAAGCTTTGTATAACATGAATACGACAGCAAGATGTCTCCTGCGGTGCAGCTTGTCATGTCATGCCATGCATGACGTGACAGCCTCTCCTTAGCCACAAAGGACTTTCCTGAACAAACCAAGTACTGTTGAACTGTCTAATCCACTACTCTGCCCTCCTCTTCCTCCACCTACACCCCCACACTCCCTACTAAAAGAACTTAATATCTCATCTTACCCAGAATCACCTGGATCACCCAGCCAGGCTTCAGAGCTATGAACCCTCCTTTTAAAGCAGGAACTGACAGATTGACTTTCCTGCAAAAGTAAAGAGGGAAGAAGTAAAAAGCTGTTAGTGAGGAACCCCTCCCACGCACAGAGAAGAACTAGCAGGTCTGGTCCTTAATATTCACCTCTGACCCCCCCTTCAACCCCCCAGTCTGGCTCTGAACAACCACAGGGCATCATGCAGTGGGTTCACGTTGCCTCTGCAGGTTCAGTTTCTATTCCTGCATTTGGGACAAGGCAGGACCAGAGGGAAGCAGGCTACAAGCTGGATTCAGCCCCACTGGTTGGGCCATCGTGATTTACTTCATAAACTGCAACTAAAGTTAAGACTCTGGCTGCAACCTTTAAGGAGCAATACATCTGATACTGATGTGTCAAGGCTCTGTCCTCATCTACAAGGAAAGTCACAGCCCTGTCCTCAGCCATTTGGCTGCAATCCTCTTGCAATCAAATGGAACAAAACCTGGATTCTTGCCTCTTAATGATGTCCAACAAGTAATCTGAGTGCACACCAATGAGGTCACTGGAGTTTATTCAAGTTCAGGAGCTGAGCCACATGACAAGAATCTGCTCAATGCCTTTTGTGCAATTACAGTCCTCCAGGAGCACTTGGTAACCCTGTATACAAAGGAAAACCAATACTTCCCACTAAAACCTTCAAGAGTGATCGATTTAAATTTCCTTTGATCCATGCCTATACACATGCAATGTGTTACTAAACAGTCTTATCAGTTTCTCATCTTCAAAGACCACAGAAGACGCTTACAAATATCTATTTTGTAGCCTGAATTACTATCCATTAGAATTGCATCCCTACAACTCTGATTTACAAGTACATCATGGCACTACTCCGTTAATTTAAACTCAATCCAAATACAATTCAGAAGAAAATCGCCCTACAGAAGCAAATTGCTACAAACCAGCAGCTTTCTTGTGGCATTAACAGCTTGAGTAGGTCATACCAACTTATTCATTCTACTCCTCACAGGAAAAGGCTACTATTCAGAAAGCCCAGTCTGCAACATCAAGTTAACACATGCTTCAAGTGCTCACCTGAGACTCTGCAAGAATGAGTTTCTTACTCATACTTCTGTCACCTGAAGTCTACCAGAAGGCAACCTGGGTCTGGCACACTAAGCCACGTTGCATCACACTAGATAGCGTTTACATTCAGAAGGTTGTTTTAAAAAAACATAACCCATAACACTATGAGACTGTAAGTACTTAAAAGAAGCAATTGGTTCGCTGAGTGTCCTCCCAACACCAGCTTCACAAGAAAGTATGATCAATCAAGCAAACTCTTGACCTCAGGTATTAAGGCATCCATGTATCTCCTCTGAGTTTTCAAAACAAGGCACATACAGTATGGAACTAAAAAGCTTAAGAGTTCTGGGCTTAAGAACAATAATTCATACAAAAAGCCAGAAATCCTCTTCTGCAAACAGGACATCACGCACTTCTGCTATAAGCCTTAAACAGTCCAACTACAAAAAACAAAACAAACATTTTCCCTCTGTATCGCTATAAAACCATGCAAGCTGTTTTCAGTCTGTTTTGGACAAACTACCAGTAGTACTAAGATTCAAATCCTAACCAAAAATAATATTTTACTATCATATTTTACTCTCTGTACATGAGTAACTCCCAACATGAAAGGCAGCAAGAGAGAGCAGAAGCTTTGTGTTACCAAGTGTCCTTGTTTCAGGAGTCAGGCAGGATCTACAGAAATGCAAGCCCCTCATCCGCAGCCAGGGTTCAGCCTACCGCCTGTAAAGGTCAATGCTGTACAGCAGTACTACCTTGAGCCACAAGGCATTGTAAACTCTCACGCAAAGCCATTTACCAATGAACAAACTGTCTTCCCTCTTATATGTGAGGATTTCTGGGGAGTTACCACTGGTTATATTTAACATATTAAAATATTTAACATATCTGAGCTTGTAATTTATCACAGCAGGGAAGTAGGATATGGCAGGCAATCTATTCACAAGACTACCAGAAGCCCAATTTACCAAGCAATATATACCCTTGGGCCAGAATCTCTCTCCCCCTCTCTGCTGCACATTTGAAAAATTTTGTGCCATTAGCCTTTTTGAGTCTACCCATTTCAATCAACTGTATTACCAAGATTTAGAAAAAAACAAAACTCAAAAACCTACTACTACCTTCTATTGCTCACATTAGTCAAAGTGTTGTCTTCTTGGAAGGGAAAGAGAGAGAGAAGAAATGGTTTACTCTTCCCCACCGGAGAACAACACACCCAGGACAGAGAAGGTGTAACCCACCTCTAACTCCTCAAAAAAATCCCATGCAGCATTCATTTCTAGCAGAGCAATGAGGTAGGAGAAGCAGCTACAGAGACTTTACTCAAGAAACAGGAGAGTCACTTATCCAGATAACTATTTCAAAGTTGTCTTTCCTTCCATTTTGAATTACTGGTTTTGTTTTTCCACTGATACCAACCTTGTACTGGCCCTTGAAGCAACAGGCTACTTGTGGGTTTGCTTTTCAAGAACTGAAGACTTACTTTCAGCCTCATGTTGGCTGATTTGTAGTTGTAAAACAGCATTTTCCAAATTTAGAAGCCACCTTTTAAATTCACTACAGTCATGCAGTCCTCAGAATAGGCTAAGGCCATTTGCTCAAGACCTTGATTTGAGTACACTACGCACAACAGCTACTTGTAATTACAAGCTTTAGATGTCCCCCATCAGCCATCCTCGTATTCTGATACGAGCAAGCTAGATATCCTTGGTCTTTAAAGAATCAGGCAGCAACAGTATGGTTCTACTAGAAACTTTGTATTTCGGTTTTTGCGTTATTAACATTGCTATTGTTACAAGAGGAAAAGAAAGGTATTTTTCAGTAAACTCAATGCCTTCTTACACTCAGAATTTCTTGATCCAAGAAATCTGATCCAAATCTCTTGAGCTGAGAGATCTCAGCTTGTGAGTTTGAGAGCACATTCCAAAGCAGAGGCGAATACAAACGCTCCTGAGCGGGCTCAGGAGACCCCATGGTTCCCTGTAAAGCACTGTGGATGAAACAAATCTGTTAACACCACATGAAGCTCTGCAGTACAGGTACAGATATAGAACCATGGGATTTCAATAGCAGTTTCTTTAGATGTCACTCTTTCCTATCACAGGACCTGACCATCATATCTTGGACTCTAACCCAAGCCAGGCATATGTTTAGATGGATTGCTAGGTCCAAGAGGGTGTCTATAATACCCCAGACAGCTCACAGACATGCCCTTTGGAAACTCAGAAGGCTTTAAGTGTTGCAATTCCTGTTCAACAGGAACGAGAAGTGTATGCATCCCAGAACAAAAGCATCGCGTAAACCAGGCTAAATCGCTGCGCTGTAGCACTGCAAGTCCTACCTAACAGCAGAGGGGAGGCCTGCAAAGTCAAAGTCACTCAACCTTCCATTTTAGGCCAGTTTGCCTCACACTACATTTCCATATGCGCTCTCAACTGCTTTAAAAAAAAAAAAAAGCTGCTTCAACTCCACGCTGCATTCAAAAAGCTGCTTCAAGTACACGCTGCACCGATGCCCGCAAGCACAACCCACTTGAAGACAAGGTCCAGCGACCGAACGTGAAAGCCCTCGGGTTAACACGCAGCACTGCGCTGCCCAGCCTGCTGCTACCTGCTGCTCGGCCGAGCGGCCGGCCGGCGCAGCGGGTTGCTTCGCCGGCAGCGGGGGCCGGCCGCGGCGACCACCCTGCGGCCCCAGTTGTTTACCCCGGGCCGTGCCGGGCCGGGCCGTGCCGGGGCAGAGGGCAGCGCCGGAGCCGGAACAATGCCCTGCCAGCCGGGGCTGCCGCAGCGCCGGGGGGAGGCCGGGGACGGCCGGCTGCTGCGCCTTCCCGAGGGCTTTTGTGCCGAGGGGAAGCCAAGCCGGCTCCAGGGCACGCTGATCCCACCGCGGGGCGGAAGGGAAAACCCCGCAGCCCCAGAGAGGCAGCCCGAGGGGAGCGGCGGCGGC